TTTTTTTCAATCTAAGGAACAATCATCAAAAAATAAAAATTTGAAAACGCAACCCAAAATTTATTTTTTTAGCCCAATTAACATAGGATGTCCATTTTGATAAGATACTTAGATCTAGGCCATATAAGGATTTTTTTTTTTTCCAATTTTTTTAGATGGCTTTATTATCAATAGATAAATAATGTTAAAAAAAAAGAAAAAGATTTTGAATTTGTAAGGGCCAAAATGTTGAAATTCACCAAATGAATGGTCTAGATTTGTTGTTTGATGGGGCTCATTTTGATTATATTTAGGATTCAAATTGAACTTTTTTTTTTGGGCCGGGGGGGGGGATTTGATTAGTGAGATGAAGAAAGTGTGTGTGCAACATTTTAGGTCATACAAATACCAAAACATGGTTTTCTAGAAGTATGGTTGCATTATAAGGAAACTTAGTGATGAGGTTTAGAAAGCCATTAACAAAAAAAGAACATGTTATAAAACTTGGTAGTGTAATAGAAACGATGAAAACTAATAAGAATTTAATTTTTTTTAAAAATGGTTAAATATTAAATAAAGCTACACTTAAGACATATGATAATTTATATAATAAACTGCGAATAAGAGAAGGTAAAAAAATATATCTTCAAATAAGCAAAAATGAGAGAAATAATGTAGAAATCTAAATCATATTAAATGCATTAAAAGTGAGGATCAAAGGTCATAGAAAAAGATGATGAGGTCAATGAAAGGTGAAAAAATTATTTTCAACAATTATTAAATAACGAACACAATGGAAACATAGTGGTAGAAGGAAATGTTGCTATAAACGAGGGTGGAGATCATAAATATATTCGCAGTATTAGGATGTAGAAAGTGAAAGAAGTTTTGAAAATGATGAAGATGTGAAAAGCTTTAGACCCAGATGTAATCCCGATAGAGATTTGAAAGCACATGGGGAGATTGGCATTGACTGACTGACAAAGTTGTTCAACAAGGTATTGAGAACGAAGAAAATGATAGACAAATGGAGGAAAAGTATTATGGTACTTATTTAAAATAACAAAAGAGACATAGAGAATCGTACGAATTATTGACAGATCTAACTTATGAGTCATACTATGAAGCTCTGTGAGAGAGTGATTGAGCAACGACTAAGGCATGAAACAAGTGTATTTGAAAACCAATTTGTTTTTATGTCAGGAAAGTCAACAATTGAGGTTATTTTTCTACTTAGGCAACTGATTGCGAAGTTTAAGGTGAAGGAAAAAGATATCCACGTTAACTTTATTGATCTAGAGAAAACATGTAATAGAGTACCTAAATATTTGATTTGGCTGGTGTTGGGAAAGAAATGAGTCTCTAGACACTACATCGACTTGGTGATAGATATGTACAATTGAATGTTAATTAGTGTACGAACAACTAATGGAGAGACGACTAAGTTTTCAGTGACAATAGGTTTACATCAAGGGTCAGTATTGAGCCCATACCTCTTTATCTTAGTTGTGGACAACTTAACTAGGCACCTACAGGATGAGGTACCATAATGCATGTTGTTCGCAAATGACATAGTTTTGATCGATGACACCAGAAACGATGTCAACATAAAGTTAGAACTTTGGAGGAATGCTCTAGAATTCAAAAGTTTTAAAATTAGTCAAACTAAGACATAGTACATGAAATGCAAGTTTAGTTTAACAATTTTTTCCCCTGGAGAGGATTACATCCCCAATCGTCATAAGAAAGTCATTTTTTGATTTGAAATTTTGAATAAGCATATACTTTAGTAGTTCCTTGATAAAAATGAACAATCGAAACCGAACCGGTTTCCATGAGAATAGATTCATACCATTCACGGGTTTTGACCCCGTATGATGGATTTAAATGGTATACAAGGTAAAGGGGAGCTAATTTATTTGGGTCAATTTGTGCATGGTTATCAGAAATGGGTATATCTGCTAAGAAGGCTGTGTCTATATAGACTGATTTAGCAGAGGTAGAGGTTTGCTTATTTGGGTATGTTGCCGAGGAAAATGCCGGACTTGAAGTTTGTATTGGACTTTGAGGAGGAGTTTGAATCAAGTATTCAGGTATGTTTGTATATATTACTTGCTGTAATATGTTAACATAATATAAGAATACTAAGATAATAAAAATAACAGACACAATAGATATATCTATGACTATCCACGAAGTATGAGTATGATTCTGAATTTTTATGCTAAAGACTAATTTAAATTGCATTGTACAAAAACATACTAATCATATATTGATTCAGGAAAGGAATTCACACTTACGGATTATTACAAATACAGAGGCTGGACAATGCCTGCCATTCGTGAGGGCAGTAAGAGGGTAGAGATGATAGATTACAATCACACATGTATACTAAAAAAAATAAAGAGTAAGAAGTTACCGACTTGAGAGACGGTAGAGTTACAACGCTACTCAACTACTGTCTTAGAAAGAGTGAGAAAACAGGAGAGAAAAGCAAAG